TGCTAAAACTAAAGGACAAGGGACGATAAAGATTACCACCTGCATTTAACCATTGAACAGTCAGATTGTCTAGTTCCATCAAAGATGTACTGGTCATGTTCAGATTTAGAAAAAATGGGGGAAACATGTAGCTGTTGTCCATAAATTCCTGTGTAACATTACTCATGGTAGTGGAGATATTGTCAAAACCCTGTGTCCAAATTAAACTGAGGGGCTTCAAACCCAAGGCATCCAGTACTTCCTCTAGGATGGACAAGGATGGTTGTCTGTCAAATTGCTCTATAGAGAGTATGTCTGATAATATATTTATGTTCTGCTCCAGTGACGTGACAAGACTTTGCAGGAGGCTCTCAGGAGACATATCACAAGGAAGTTGTCCCATGGACTGCATAGCAAAGGCTCCATAGATTGCATCCAGGAATGCCACAGAACCTTGGACAAATCTGTTGGAATGAACAAAAGTATACTGTTGAATCAGCCAACTTTAGTAAGTCAAAAAAGCCATATCTCCCAGCATGATATAAATATATAGATATGTACATTATAGCCCCAACAAGTAATATAAAACTATGATAATGGTAATAAAATATACATAATTTTGTATTATATTTTTCAAACACACCCTTATTATGACTTCTTAAACATGAGCAAATTTTTTTCAAATATTATTCACTACAGAAAAGGCTGCAATGTTACTACAGATCTCAGTCAGAGATGTTGCTATTGTTGTTAGTGTGAAATTACTGAAATCTGCTTCAATGGTGGTATTCAGGGGTAAGATTTTTAAAGTTGAAGGATTATGATAAAAAAAACTACCAGACACATGGAAATTACAAAATAATTATCCCAAGAAAGAAAAACCTTCCCTAAATATTTTAAATAAAAACCCTGTTCAGTATAAGCAGCTGAAAGATAGGTGGTTGGAAAAAAGTATGGATGGACGGATGGATAGAGATTAAACATGATATCACATAACTAGATTTGATTAACAATGTGCACCCAAAGACCCTTTCTGTCATGACCTGCGCGTCCAGTCCTTGTGTGTGCCACGCCCTCCTCGGTAAACCCGTGTCAGTTCCCATTGTATCAGCTGTCTTGCGTTTATTCTGAGGTCATGTCCTGTATTTAGTCCGCATTCAAGTCTGTTTCCTCAGGTCTGTCATTGACGAGAATTTGCCGTGTGTTCCCCTGTCATTTTGTCAATCCGAAATAAACCCCGTTTTGGATATCATTCATGGCTCTCTCGCCTGCTTCCCCGCTCGACGCATGCAGACGTAACACTTTCGCTGTTATGACCCTGACCCTGTGGCAAACATACTTCAGGTAAGACTCATCCATCGTTCATAACTGATTATCCAGAACAGGGTGATGGTGTGCCAGGAAGCACAGGAACCAAACCAATTTGAAAGCACCAACTGACCAAACTGCATATCTTAGCCTTGAGAGAGGAAGCTAGAGAAAATGCAACTTCAAACACACAGAGCCAGTTTGGAAATCAAACCACCAGCACTGGAAATGTGAGGATACAGCGATAACGACTTACTTTTATGAAATTTGGGTTTTATACAAATTGTTCAGAAATTAAACAAGCGCCAATTTTTATGCATCACCTTGTTATAAAGTTATAAATACTTACATCTGATTCCAATTGTCTTGTCCACCAAGCTGAATGATGGTCTCCATGTAGGTGATAAGGGCCTGTGTCATCGGCAGGAGTATCGGTAAGGACTCATTGGGGGCAATCACCTTGATCAGGCTTTCCCCCTTCAAAAGGATGTCCAAGGTGAGGTTCACTTTCTCTGTATAGCTCATATTAGGACGGAACACAAGTTGCAGGGCCTCATATATAATACCTATGGCATCACTGGTCACGATGTCTGGGAGAGGCCATTGGTCTGTGCTCAGGTTCCCTATGACAATGCTAAATGCCTCCATTAAGGCTCTAGTGAAGTTCACATTCTGGACCCCATCTTCTTGAGTAGCTATTAACAGTGCATGTTTTAGGGCCTGGGACACTTGTCCAACTATGGAAAGATAGTGAAATTGGGATTCTGATAAAAGATGTGCTATGTCATAAAGCCAAAAACTGTCCATGTTCATAAGGTCAGGAGAGCTTGCATTCTGTTGGAGGATTTCAGCCATAATGGATATCAGGTGGGTATCCTTCAAAAAATCCTCTGTGATATGAAGATACTTCTCTACCTGGGTCTCAAACACCTGGAAATTGACATCTGATGTATTATCTCCCATGGCTAAGGAGAAATTCATCTGCAGTTCAGCCACATATTTTGTTATCTTTAGCTCTTCAGAGAGAACAGAAATGACATAATTCTCAATGTCTTGTAAGTCTGACTTGCTTAAGGGAATATGTATGGACTGGGTCAAATTTTCGGCTCCAAGCACAATAGATGTTATGAACTGTGATTCTGCAAGGGAGGTAGCCAACTGCATTTCCATCATTCTGAATAAGGGGTAAAGAAGGTCAGAAACATTTCCGGTATAAGTAATATTCTCAAGCTTCCTCAAGTACCACAATGCAATGTCCATATAAACTTCTGGAACATACTCTGGCTGGTTAGGAAGAGTAGAGTTGATGGAGGGGAAAGGATATGTCCCATTAACAAATTGCTGGATGATATTTTTGAGAACATGGATAGCAGTTGTGACTTCGTTCCAGGACTCCAAGCCATAATCCTGCAAATTCTCATGGATCTTGTCCAGAATAACTGATAGGTCACCGGAAGAAGACACAAGATGGTCATAATAGGTAAAATGTGTCATATTACTGCTTCCTCCATGCTGTCTTTGGCAAAATTGTGTAAGGTGATTCATTTCCTTATTAAGGAGTATGCCTTGTAAAACCTCGATTGTCTCCTTAATCAGCTTCAACAAGCAATGGAGCTCAGTTGAGTTCACTAGCTCTGTTTGCATTGTTGCATTATTTAGGCTGAAACAACCCTGAGCATTAATTACACTACTTAGATTTGTTAACACCATCTGAGCAGTAGAGGATCCTGCTAACTCTGCAACAAAGACTAGGTCCTCCAGGCTTAAATTGGACATCTGAAGACCATACTGCAGGGAGGACAGACTGATGTTGAGTGTGGGTGGAATTTCATCGAGGAAGAACAGGACCCTCTGTATAGCTTCTGATGTCAAGGACACATTGGTGCTATTGATCAATGGAGAAAGGAGTGCAAGAAGGTCCACAACTAGAGGGAAAGTTAGGTTTCTTTCAAATGTAAGGTTGGAATTGATAGTTATCAGTCCATTTGTGATGTTCTCACTTTGTTGTAGCATTTTAGCAGCCTGCTCCAAGAACAGGAAAACTTTGCTGACATCAGCTGCACAGTCCTGGCTGCTGGCTGTGCATAATGTTAGTGCTCTGAGTAGGCGATAGGTATGATTTATCAGTTCATCGTTGTTGTAGCGAAACTCTTCTGGTAATAATGCTATCACTTGCCAGAGAACAGCATCCAGCATACTGACGTTTCTAATTTGATGTAGATCCTGAAGAAATGCTGTGGAATTTAACTGAAGGATCTCCAGGGCAGCTGGATAAAGGTCTAATATTTGTGAAACGTTCTTTAGTCCATCAAGCATGAAAAATGACTCATTGCTGTTTAGCTGCAGAGAAGAGGCTAAGAAATTCTGAACCTGCCACAGGTATGCCAGTATCAAGGCTGAAGCATTATGTGAGGTCTCAGTTGTCTGATTCAACACCTCTGTGGCTTTGATAAGAAGCTCGAGTACATCCCTTTCATTATCATTGTTTAAATGCTTGAGAATCTGTTGTAGGTAGGATACATGTGAAGCATTCAGGAAAGCGGAGTGGTTAAGAAGAGCGTTGCTAAAACTTAAGGACAAGGGACGATAAAGATTACCACCTGCATTTAACCATTGAACAGTCAGATTGTCTAGTTCCATCAAAGATGTACTGGTCTTGTTCAGATTTAGAAAAAATGGGGGAATCATGTAGCTGTTGTCCATAAAAGACTGTATAACATTCTTCATGATGAAGGAGGTATTGTCAAAACTTTGCGTCCAAATTAAACTGAGGGGCTTCAAACCCAAGGCATCCAGAACCTTCTCTTGGATGGACAGGGATGTTTGGCTGTCCAGTTGCTCTGTATAGGGGATGTCTGATAATATTTTATAGTAGAGATCGAGTAATTTGATTAGACTTTGCAGGGGGCTTTCAGGAGACATATTGTTGGAAAGTTCTTCCAAGGACTGCATAGCAAAATCTCCATATACTGTATCAAGGAATGCCACAGAACCCTGCACAAATCTGTTGGAGGCAAAGAAAGACACTGTAGGGTCAACTCAATGTTTCAAGTTTTAAAAGGCATAAAATCACCCATATGAAGCACATGATTAAGATAACAGTATCAAAATTAGCATAATTTTTGGTAATATATTTCAAACATACACTTATGAAGATGACCCAAAGCTGCAAATTCTTTTCACAAATTATTCACCTCAAAAGTGCTTCAGGGTTAATGCAGAGTTCTATCAGAGATGATTTTAGTGGAAGAATCTCCTCCCAAGTAAAATTGCTTTGGCAGAGGGGGACACCAGTAGTTCTCTCAACAGTGCCTATAAAAAATGGCAAAACTATTAAATAAAGGAAGGCAGAAACTGGACGCAGTAATGAAATAACCAGCAATGAACCAGGCATGAAATTTATTCTTGCTCTGTATATATTTATTTACATCCAAGCAGTCAATTCAAGTGAAAGAAAAACAACTGAGTGCATGAATGTAGTCATGAATGTACTCACAATTTGGAGGTGCAGTAATATTGGGTTGGAAAGTCATAATCCAATGGACAATGTAGAAGAATGTCTCCACTGACCATGTGGGGCTTTTCTGCAGGTCAGATCCCACCATCTCAAAAATATTGGTGTTCCTAGAGAACAGAGGTATTTTTTCACAGAATCAGTAAAGAATGACTTGTATGGAAGATTGAGATACATTTTTAATATCCATGTAAAACAGAGCTACTTTATTTAAAGAGAAATTGGATAGTTTTCACATATCCCATCTTGCTATCCATGAGAGACACAGATACATATGTACAATATTTTTGGGGTCAGAGCACGGGGTCAGGCAGGATGCAGCTCTCCTGGAATAGCAGAGGTTAGGAGCCATGTTCAAGGGACTGATGCCAATGCCATTACTTTGCTGGCCATAAACCTTCAGCACATAGGCTTGGAACCCAAACGTACTGAGCTATACATTGCCTCTTTTTCCAACAGTTTTATGTTAATTAATTGATTGGGATTAAGTTCATGAATTACGTCCGTAGTACTTTTTTCACAGGGGCATGTTAAAATTAGCTGAAGCTTTATGGATTTATGGATGCTATATATCAATGTATCATCATATGAAATTTAAATGATAAAAAAATGAGAAACTTCAATAAACTGTTGAAAAGGGACATTGCTTGATGGCACACATCAGTCTATCACATCACAGAATTGAACGCAGTTCCAAGCAATTATATGGTACTGTAGCCCCTAATGATCGAACAACCTAAGCCCAGCAAATGCACAGCAAGGTTGATTGAGTTTGTGGAGCACAATGCACACCATTGTTTTGGTAATATCACAACTGAGAGTAGCCCCTGAAAGGCAAAGTAAGTGACACAGCTCGGCACCCACATTTAAAAAAAAATAGGAGATACTGTGGTTAAGGAAGGTAAAAAACACTGTTGGCATGGCAGTACTTTTTGCAGTTTAAAGTCCAACATGCAACAGACTGGTGCTGTGTACTGTAAATTCTCCGAAAGCTTGTGCCAACTAAAACTGGAAATATTACAAACTTATTTCATCATTGCCATCCATTAGAACAGCCAGGTCCAGCTAGAATATAAACCCTCAGCTCAACAACGTTTTATAAACTTGCTGAAATAGTTTGAATAGAAGACAGTATTAAAAATGTTATTGATGAAGACTTGAATATATAACCCAAATAACTATAATATAGTGGTTATGAAATTTCACCACAAAAATATTGCTTTGCTATTATTCATGAATTTGGTTTTCACTAATTCGACTCTTTTATAGGTATGGAGAAAAACAGAAACATAGCTGGGAAAAAATGTTCTGCACAGCATGCAGAAGATCTTGTGTTGTTATTCTAGCATGCTGTCATTATTTTGCTATTTCTTGAATGCATATTACAAACAAACCATTATTTTTTTATTTTTATTACTTGCAAAACAGACCTTAAGAACATTGTCAGCCAGTTTACTGTGGTGTTCCCTGGATTCCAGGCTGTCCAGTTGTGCTCATTCATTGCATCATATAGTTGCTTCAAAGATGCAGAAAATTGCTCATAGCTGCTGTTGAGATTTTTCAAGTCTGACAGGATGGTTGTGACATTGATGCCAGATTCCTCAGGGGTCTGGAGCAATTCCAAAAACCTGTTTCCCTAGGTTTAAGATCCAAAAAGATATGTGCTTCGCTTAGCATAAATTGAATTACAGAAAATATACTTTTTTAAAGAAAAGAAAAACTACTAAAACTACAATTAATACAACCCCATTTCCAAAAAGTTGAGATGCTGTGTAAAATGTGAACAACAGAATGCAATAGTTTACAAATCATATAAACCCATATTTAATTGAAAATAGAACAAAAACAACATATCACATGTTGAAACTGAGAAATGTTATTTGTTTGAATTTGATGCCAGCAATAGATTTCAAAAAAGTTGAGATGGGGCATGTTTACCGCTGTGTTGCATCACCTCTTCTTTTAACAATACTCTGTAAACATTTGGGAACTGAAGAAACCTGTTGCTGGTGTTTTGAAAGTAAAATGTTGTTAATTGGCAACAGGTCAGTAAGATGATTGGGGATAAAAATGGCCCCACACAGAGTTTCTGTGCAGTGAAGATGGGGAGACGTTCACCACTCTATCAAAGAACAACTGCAACAATTTAAGAATAATGTTCCTTAAAGTAATATTGCAAGGAATTTATGAATTTCATCATCTACAGGACATAATATCATTAAAATGTCTATATACAAGGGACAAGGTTGAAAACCCATATTGGATAGCCGTGACCTTCCTGTCCTCAGGTGGCACTGCATCAAAAACAAACATCGTTCTATTGTGGAAATCACTGCATGCGCTCAGGAACACTTCTGAAAACCACTGTTTGTGAACACAGCTCATTGCTGCACCCACAAATGCAGGATGAAACTCTGCCATGCAAAGAGACCATATCTACACATGATCCAGAAATGCCTTTGACTTCTTTGGGCCCGAGCTCATTTAAGGTAGACTGAGGCAAAGTGGAAAACTGTCCTGTGGTCTGATGAATCAAAATTTCAGATTCTTTTTGGAAATCATGGACATCGTGTCCCCCAGGCTAAAGAGGAGAGCAACCCTCCAGATTGTTATCAGCGGACATTTCAAAAGCCATCAGCTGTGATGGTATGGGGGTGCATTAGTGCCCATGGCTTGGCTAGCTTGCACATCTGGGAGGGCACCATTAATGCTGAATATATGAATGCTGAAAACGACGTTGTCTGGATGGCAGGATTTGTTGCTCCAAAACCAACAAATCCTGCCATCCAGACAACGTCGTTTTCAGAGAAGGCCATGTGTATTTCAGCAAGACAAGATCAAACCACATTCTGCGAATATTACAAAAGCATGGCTCTGTAATAGAATTGTCCGGGTCTTAGAGTGGCCTGTCTGCAGTCCAGACCTGTCACCCACTGAAAACATTTGGTGCATCATGAAACAAAAAATACAGCAAAGGAGACCTTGCCTGTATCAGGCAAGAATGGGACAACATTTCACTTTCAAAATTCCAGCAACTATTCTTTTCCAATCATTTACAAAGTGTTGTTAAAAGAAAAGGTGATGCAGCACAATGGTAAAGAAGCCATTGTCCTAACTTTTTATAAATGTGTTGCTGGCATGAAATTGAGCATATAATTGTCATAAAACAATAAAATCTCTCAGTTTCAGCATCTGATATGCTGTCTTTGTTCTATTTTCAATTAAATATGGGTTTATATGAATTGTAAATCATTGCATATTGTTTTTATTCACATTTTATACAGTGTCACGACTTTGTTTTTGTTGTAGTATGGAATTTGTTGAGGCTGCAACCACAACATACACAACATAATTATGCCATTATCAATGTAAAGGAATCATGAAAGAATGGCAGGAGTATGTAGTGAAAAGTAATACAAAGAAACTATCGAGATTTGCCATGTGGGTGAATCATCAATATGCAGTGCCAATGCACACAGAACCAAGACCACTTTTAATTTAATTCAGATGATTTAGAAAGATATGTTTCATCTGAAGATAACAATCTATAAAACTATCTGCAACAATGTTGTCTAGTGTATTTCCCTTACTTACTTTCTCCACCAATGGCATCCACTGGGCAAGCAGAGTATTTGGCAAGTAGGACCTGTTGCAAAAGAGTAACTCCCACATGACTAAGTCCCCTGAAGGCAGACTGGACTGTGAGGACCACTGACTGATGACATCACTACAATTTAGGGATCCCTGTAACAAGGACATTTAGAAACAGTTAAAGTAAAACAGATTATCTTAAGAGGGAACAGTAATGCTCTGTAAAAAACACAAATTGAATAAATGTTTAGATGTCTACTTGTATAAAAACATTTTTACTACCTTCACAATGGTCTTCACTATGGCCTTTGGGAGTCCCAACAGCCAAGTATTTGCCTGGAACTCATTGGGCAGGACCGGCCCAAACACCTGCTGAATGCCACGGGCCTCACTCAGCAGGAAATCCATTTGCTCTGGTTAGTAAAAATGGTCATTCCACATACTGTAGTATTCACTCAAGTATTCATTTACTTAACATGTTCATTCCTTCCAGTTGCCAGGTAAAAGCTGACCGATCATATATGACAGACATGCATATACAACACTTAATACAAATATTAGCAATCGAACATCATAACACAAAAAGATGTGACTGTAATTAGGATCAGCAATTAATTTTTTATAATTTAAAAAAGCTTCTCCATCATAAACGTGTACACATTAGCCAATATATGTGAAACTTACAGAAATGTGCTTAAATACAATACAAGTGGTCTGACTTGCCTCTCAGAGTGTCAAAAGTTTGTATGGCCAAATCCATAGAGATGTGACTGCCTGTGAGGAAGGTGTTCAAAGACGACCAGCCTGGGAGCCCCCCCAGCATTTTCAGTGTTGATATCACGCCAAGAAGCCTTAAAGAAGACACACTAACTGTTGTTATCCATCATAATATCCTACACCTCTTAAGTTATGAACATTTACAGGTATTTTTTGTTCATTCAACCAAACTTTGTAAAGTTAAACTGGGTTACAGATATATTTAAAATTATACATGAAGAACACATTAAAAAGGTTGCAGAATATTTTATAGAAATATGTAAATGCATATGTATGTTTAAATGGGCTAAACTACTTGGCATCACTATCCATCAATTAACAGTTACTATGTAACCCAAACTTGGTTTTTCAGCTATTATTTACAAAATGGAAAAGAGCTGAAGTCATGCATATTATTGTTAAAATTAATTACTGTCTCTTTGTACAATGTATTTCCTTAATATACAGTTTGTTTACTTGTATTGCACACATAAAGGACATGTTTAATACACTCCGCTCTTTCTTATAGCACAATAGCAGCAAAATTGGTCATCTGAGTCCTTATTAATCCTTTTAATCATGGGTTAGATCAGAAGTGTAAAAGATCATGTTTGATCGATTGTGAAAGGTAATTGTTAGGCTAGCATATGATTCCATACTCCTCCTCCTGGCCCCCATACAGCTGGTTGCTGCTGTCTGGATTTTCAGTGAAATTCTGAACACTCCAGCCGTAGATCTGCAGCAGGTTGTTTAACAGCCCTGTGGTAAAGGTTACGCCAGTAGAAGCTGCTTCACTGTTCCACGGACGCAGCAGCTGCAGAGAGAGTACATGAAACAGATGCACATTCATACAAAGGTCAAACACTAAATTATAGGTTACATTTAGCAGAGCCACAATTCTGTTGTATAGACAACAAGGAGGTAAGGTGACAAAGATTTTATTCTGCAAATGTACAAGCCAGTTCTTGTGTAGTGGCTACTAGAGAAACAGGTAAAGCACCTGCAGGTGATAACATCAATCCCACAGAAACAGGAGAAATACCCTGTTGTCAATCTCAAACAGGAGTAATACCCTGTTGTCAACAGTGATTGCTCAAAAGAGAGATTAGAAGAGAAAGGATACAGAAAGCTTGGGTGGGGTGAGAGAGACATACTAAAGAGGGAGAAAAGAGCAAGACAATAATACGTAGTTTGGGGTATGCTGCATTGTAAAACATTTTTGACAGCATTAATAAATTGATCTGAAAAAAATGTCCAGAAGCATACAATTACAGGGCTCTTTAGTGGTATTTTGAGTCAAGATAAAACTGTCACGACAGGGCAAATATAGTACGACTGGTAACACGTGAGGCTCAGTCACAGAACAATGTGCCAAATCCGGTTTTACCAAATGCTTTGGTGTGACCTTTTAAAGATATTTTTGTCTTTACTTCTGCAATTCACTCATAGAATAAATATAGCAAAGCTAAGTAGTTCCATAACAAATTGTACTACATTTTTAAAAAAAAAAATTTTTTATACTGTATATTATTACTTATATATTACTTATTACTTATATACATTTTACTTTTCACTTTGCAATAGAGCTGTTGGAATACACACAAACGGGTGCACACATGTAGGGTAAACATATCCTTATGGGGACCGCTCATTCATTTCAATGGGAAAAATGCTAACGCTAACTATGACAGTCACCGATTTTTATAAAATAGAGTGGGTATTTATCACATTATGGGGACATTATGTCCCCATAAGGATAGGTAAACCCGCTCGCACACACACACACACACACACTGCATATTTGTTGGTACATAAAAGGCATTTATCTAAGAAATAAATTATTTCAGTATTCCGTAACTACTACTTTTTGAACGTGACCAAAAGTGCTGCTGACAGAACTTCAGAATAACAGAAAAGAAGAAAAATACTAGGACAGAAATGACAAAACATTTTTTTTATTCTACCTTGAAAATGTGTTATTAAATAATCAGATATTTAATTCTGTGCAAAAATCTTAGGCAGACAAACAAAATGTTTAAGGCTATGTATCTAGGTAGTAAGTGTATATTAAAAACACTATTTAAAAGAACACATGCAAGTTAAAAGCACAGTAAGAAATAAAAAATTCTTCCATTCTCAGATGAACACCGCTTCAGTTCCCAATCCTCTTTTTGTGGAATCTCAACAATTCCATGTGTTACTTAATTAAACAAAAAAAATGATTCAATCTATTGATTGATTAATTAACTCAATGGGACATTGATTATCCAAACACGGTAAAGTGGCCGAGTCAAAAAAATTCAAGGGGGGATGGTTACTGCAACAGTCTGCAACATTTTCAAATAGCCTAAGCCACATGTGTCAAACTCAAGGCCCGCGGGCCACATCCGGCCCGGCCTACAATTATACCTGGCCCGCAAGATCATTTTATACTGTATATCTTTTTTTTTTTAATGGCCCGGCGATATGAAGCGCCGATAACACACAAACTACAAATCCTATAATGCAGCGCAACTGCTGCCTTACCAAACGATAGACTACCTGCGATCATTCCCGCGTCAATTAAGTCAAATCAAACAAGCATCTGTTGATGTATACAACCCTAATTTCAAGTTAAAGCTAGCCCCTAACAGTGTCCAAGAGAAAAGTTGATTCTGAAAACAGAGCCTTTCATAACCGGTGGGAGGCTGAGTATATGTGTGACGGAGTAGAGAAGCGCTTGATTAAATTATTTTAAATGGTGCAAAGGCGCCGGCTAGTGGTAGCATGGTACAGTGTTGCTGATGGGAAATCACGCGAATTTGCCCAAAGCAAGTATGGATATTGGACGGGTAGGTAGTGTTTGCAAGGGGTCCGGGAAAGACTGTGTTTTACGAGCTTAAAAGTGCACAGAAGCTATGGTTTCTTATGCAATGTGTTTGGTGTATTAAACTCATTACCTTGAGATGACTCCTCGATATATGTGTATATCGATAGCTTTAGGTTTGATGAGCATGCTAACGGCCTTCTGTCCACATTATCTAAAGGGTTTTATCCTGAGTCCGTTTGAAACCACCGTGACTTCACTGTACTGTCTACATTTATTGCAGCAAATAAAAGGGAGCTTGTGATCTGCCTGGCTGTCTCAGTGTATGATGTTGCGTGCGGAAGCGGTAGAATGGCGCTGCATGGGTGAACCCGTCACATATGTTTACCGACATTGCCGGTAAACCCGTGTGTCTTATTCGTGGAGCTAATGTGGCTGAGAGAGCATCTCCACAACACAGAACCTTACACCAAGCATAAACGAACTTGATGCCAAGCATACAGCTCTCACGGAATGGCATATGAGCAAAGAAAATGGAATGTTTTGATTTGTTATTATTTAAACTTTCACTTAAAAGCACAATTTTTCTTTATACACTGCTCAAAAAAATGAAAGGAACACTTTTTAATCAGAGTATAGCATCAAGTCAGTTAAACTTCTGGGATATTGACATGGTCAGTTAAGTAGCAGAGGGGGTTGTTAATCGGTTTCAGCTGCTTTGGTGTTAATGAAATTAACAAGTGCACTAGAGGGGCATCAATGAGACGACCCCCAAAACAGGAACACTGCCAGAGCCCTACAAAATGACCTCCAGCAGGCCACTGGTGCGAATGTCTCTGACCAAACAATCAGAAACAGACTTCATGAGGGTGGCTTGAGGGCCCGACGTCTTCTAGTGGGCCCTGTGGACTTTGATTGGCATTTGCCGTAGAATACCAGTATTGGCAGATCCGCCACTGGCACCCTGTACTTTTCACAGATGAGAGCAGGTTCACACTCAGAACATGTGACAGAGTCGTGGAGAACGTTATGCTGCCTGTAACATTGTTCAGCATGACCATTTTGGTGGTGGGTCAGTGATGGTCAGGGGAGGCATATCCATGGAGGGACACACAGACCTCTACAGGCTAGACAACAGCACCTTGACTGCCATTGGGTATCGGGATGAAATCCATGGACCCATTGTCAGACCCTAAGCTGGTGCAGTGGGTCCTGGGTTCCCGGCCTCATGGGGTGAGAGTATGCAGGCAGTTCCTGGAGGATGAAGGAACTAATAGCATTGACTGGCCCCCACGCTCGCCTGACCTAAATCCAACAGAACACCTCTGGGACATTATGTTTCAGTCCATCCGACAGCGCCAGGTTGCACTTTAGACCGTCCAGGAGCTCAGTGATGCCCTGGTCCAGAACTGGGCGTAGATTGCCCAGGACACCATCTGGCGTCTTATTAGGAGGATGCCCCGACATTGTCAGGCATGCCTACAAGCACATGGGGGCCATACAAACTACTGAGTACGATTTTGCGTTGCTGCAATGAAATTTCGGCAAAATGGACCAGCCTGCCGCATCATTTTTTCACTTTGATTTTCGGGGTGTCTTTGAATTCAGCCCTTTGTAGGTTGATAATTTTCATTTCCATCAAGTGATGTGGCATCCTTTCATTCCTAACACTTTACCCAGTCCATATCAGTATAGATATCCAGCATGATTTTTTTCCCATTGAGATCTGATGTGTTTTCAAAATGTTCCTTTAATTTTTCTGAGCAGTGTATTTTCAGGTTTTTTTGCAGCATATTCATATTTTGAATTTGTATAATTTTGACAGGAGATATTTTCATGGGGAGCAAAACGTTTTGTTATTTTAAATTTAAGTTTATTTATTTTGGAATAATATTATATCCTGTCTGTTTCGATTCATATTTATGTTCAAAAAAACATTTTAGTCTGTTCAATAAATGTTTATCCTGTTCGGCCCGCGACCTAAAGTGTGCTTTGAGTTTTGGCTCCCCATGCGATTGAGTTTGACACCCCTGTCCTAAGCTGACACTCTTTGACAGGCATCAAAGTTTTACACCAAGACGAAGATCAATATTCTTTGACTGCCTAAGACTTTTGCAGAGAACTGTATGTTCACAATAAATATATGAGTGATCTGTAGTTTATGCTTATATTATCAATTAACAGATATTTAAACATATTTAGAAACATGTTGTAGTAAGAGAGAATACCTTTTGGATTAGAGCACTTTCCGTATTGACCATGCTGAAGCCTTCACTAAGGGGTACATCAACACCTGCATAAGAAAAATACAGAAAAAGTTTCTTCACATTAGATGGAATCAAACAGAAAGAGGAAGACGAGGGCACCAGAAACTACAGACATATATTCTGACTCCCATACAATGTTAAAGAGGCAGTTCACCCCAAAACTAGGTTGTTGTTCCAGCCCATCTAAAACATTTTTTTTCAGTGGATAGAGCACGAGCACCCCCGTGAGATCTTATAGGATTGGTGTGTGGAGTTTGACAGATAAAAATAGTTCCTGCATTAAACTGCTCACTACAAAGTCTGTGGATTATCTTGAGTAACCGGGTCATGATTTCTGGTAAGAGACATTGCTGTTGAATTTTTCAATTTTATTTCTTTTTCATCACTTTAAATGCCACGGAAAGAATGCCTTTCAGTCCCATTATATTTGAGAGAAGACCGACATTATTACAACCAACAGCTCCAAAGCTAGGCAACTTCCAGCAGAACAAACAACCTTAGATAGATAGCTCTAAAGCCCCTCAAAAACATACAGCGGGGAAAATAAGTATTGAACGCGTCAACATTTTTCTCAGTAAATAGATTTCTAAAGGATCTATTGACATGAAATTTACACCAGATGTCGGTAACAACCCAAGTAATCCACACATACAAAGAAATCAAAACAAATAAGTACATAGATTAAGTTATGTGAAATAAAGTGAAATGACACAGGGAATAAGTATTGAACACGCTTACTGAAATTTATTTAATACTTAATAGAAAAGCCTTTGTTGGTAATGACAGCTTTAAGACGCCTCCTGTATAGTGAAACTAGTCGCATGCATTGCTCAGGTGTGATTTTGGCCTATTCTTCCACACAAACTGTCTTCAAATCTTTATGTTTATAGGGCCTCTCCTATGAACTCTGATCTTTGGTTCTTTCCATAGATTTTCAACTGGATTCAAGTCTTGTGATTGACTGGGCCATTCTAGCAGCTTTATTTTCTTTCTCTGAAACCGATTGAGAGCTTCCTTGGCTGTATCTTTTTCAGTTTTGGGGTGAACTGGCCCTTTAACCTGTAAACTACTTTCTCCTCCTCGTCATGTCATTGCTTCTGTTTTAGCGGCTTCCCACTACCCTTATACATTTGACCCTTCTGCATCTTGAATTTCCCCACTGCTGTTTTGATATATAGTGAGGTTGGCATAAGAAATTAAATGGGAATATTATGGTTTGGAGGACACCAAGTGTGTTTATGACAGCCTCTCACATTATACCTAACAGCCATCTTTGCCGTCTTTGCATCTCACTTCGCTCGCCAAGGGAAACAAATTTCCAGATCGCCAGCGGTCTGCACTCCTACACCCTGCGATGTGGAAGGGTTTGACTACAATTTTTCACCAGATTTTTCCCCTAACCAGCACTATTGCATATTCATCTTGTCAAAGAATTTTTACTTTTTAATCATGACAACATATCTCCTTCGGTAACCAGTGAAGTAGCTGTTCATCATGACATCAGTGGTGGCTTACTCAGACAGCAGTCTGAAATGATAAATTTTTTTGGGGAACAGTATTCAAGTGTCACATGTATTGTTTTCGGCTGCCACAATGTCTACACAGCTGATACACTGTACCTACACTGTGCATACCATACCTTTGCTAGACCACGTCTGGATGTACTGTAAGATGTTGGTAACAGCATCTATGGACATGTTGATCATAGAAACAGGAATTTTAATTTGGGGGATGTTTCTTTGGATGGTGTTTGCAGTCCTAAAGTTCCGAAAACAAAGGCAAACAATGGGTTTTAATGGAGTGTTTCAGAAACACAGGTTATGCATTTCCATGCACAATCACACATATTAATTTACTGCCATAGAAACAAGGCTTGAGACACAGCGTTACTTAGATATTTATACATGTATTTAACCTTGCATATAAACACAAACTGGCATATACACAAATACACACAAACCTACTGTGAAATAGACTCTTAACACCCTTGACAAACTGGTCCTGCAACATTTACTAGCAGGTGCAATGTCAAAATCGTGCTAAATGAGAAGAGGCTCTGCGGGCACCACGCCTGCTTTTTAAAGCTGACATAAAAGCTTGTATTCTTATTCATACTTCACAAGGAAACACTTCTATAATAAAGTAAAAGAATCTAAGGTGAATAAAAGAATCAACGGTTAGTGGCACAGTGTAAACACATTTAAAAACTCTAATGGCAGAACATGTGCCCTCTCTCATGCCGTACCTCTTTATGGTGTTCAGCAGCATGGTCACCTCATTCAGCTTGGCTCCTGCACTGGAGGGAATGAAAAGCTCAGGCAGGCCCAGAAGGGCATCCCAGATTAAACTGTCTGACTGCACTTGTTCAAATGCTAGTATTCCCTCTTCAATGGCCTCCAGCAGCACCATAGGTTTGGTGAGGAGCAGATTGGATGCCACCTTAAATTACAGGATACAGAGAATGAAAAAACAAAGGAGTCACGCAAAATCTCAAAATTACTGTATTCTTTTTTAATCATTAAATTTCACTATGACCATTTCCTGGATAAGTGTATGAGTTTTTGGAAAGATGGATGACACATCTAACATAACAGCTAAGATATGATTTCATAAAGAATTTTGTGTTTATGTATTTGTATAATGAGAAACATTCATGTAAAGCAACGTAAGTATTCAACCTATACAGAATCCATTAATTTTCTATACCCACATATCCTGCGGAGGGTCATGGAGGTACAGAGTCTATCTCAGAAGCTACATACTCAAGGCAGGGATTCTGGGGCACCAAACCATCACAGGGCACATGAAAACACACACACAGGTTTGTACAGTAAATATATCTTCGTGGGAACTCTCCAATTCATTTCTACGGGGAAACTGTAATCGCAACATGACAACCTTAACCACTACCTAACCTTAACCATAAGTAACCAAACAACAAATGAGTGTTTTGGTATTTTTACTTTTTTGATTGCAGTCACAGATCTTTGTGGGGACCTGAAAAATGGTCCCCCACAATGTAAAAAAAAAACAGGTTTTTATTACATTGTGGGGGACATTTGATAATATAAACCTAATACAAACACACAGAGATTAGGTATCTATATCTTTGTGGGGACTCTCCATTCATTTTTATTGACATACCCCTAATCCCAACTACACTGCCAGAATAAATGAGTACCAATTTGTACCTTTGCTTGTCACTGGGGCTGTACCCTATTGTATGGTCTGCCAATTGTACCCTAGCCATAGGTTAATGTACAATTGGCTGACCCATGATTGCACAGGCCCAGTGACAAGCAAAGGTACAAATTGGTAAAAAAAAAAAAAAAATTGACAGTGTATGAAAATCTTTACCCCTACCCAGCCCTAACCTTAACCATAAGAAGCCAAACAAGATACAAGATGTTTGGCGTTTTTAGTTTTTTGATTGCATTCACAGATTTTTTTAAAAATAGAGATTTCCATTGTGGGAACTGAAAAAAGTTCCCCACAAGGTCAAAATAACTGGTTTTAACTAACACCGTGGGAACATTTATTACAATGTAATAAATACTTACATATATACATAAACACACACACACACACACACATACAGATAGGCAGGCAACTCCAATTCAAACTCCATACATTGGCACCAGGGCAAACACTTGAACCCATGTGAAACAAGAGTGCTGACCACTGCACCACTGCACCACTGTGGCAGTTCAATATATTCAAGCTATTACATTGGTCCTACTTTACCTGGTTCAGAGTTTGCAGGAATGCTTCCAAAAGTGTGTCACTGGAATTACAGAAGAATACCAAACCAAAGGATAAGGGATCCGAAGAACTTTGGTATGATGAATTGAGGGCAGATAGGACTGCAGTACAAAGATATTTCTTTAGGATATTGACAGAGTCCTTCATCAGCACCTCCTTCGGGAAAAGAAACAAACACTTTTGTGAAGACACAGTATTTTTCCCATTTTGCACGAATCAGTTAATGCTTTAATTCATTTACTCTATTGTACATAGCTTAGAATATCGATAAAAGCTTATGTCACAGGTCAAGAACCAGTTTTAGTAACTGACAATCGGTCTGTCAAGTTCCCTGCCACGACTGCCCGCACCCGACCTTACTTTATTTTTCGTTATGGAAATATGCAGGAATTCACCAAGATTTTTGACAGAGTTGCCAGAATTATACATACACACACACACACACACACACACACACACAGTAGAACGTTGGAACTTGAAAGCCTCTTAACCTGATTCGGACCTCGAACGGGTTGGTTGAAAAAAAGCTATCCACAACTCGACCAAAAACTCAGAACATGACAAAATAAAACAGACCAGCTAAAATTTGTCGGCGTCTCCTCTTCTAAACAATAACCCCTACACCCTCCACCTTACACTTACATATGCCATCAGCTCATCTCAATATAGGTAAAGTGCTCATTTGTTTCATGTTTATTCTCTTGGTATGTGTGCTTTTTCACAGTTTTATATTGACTGTAAATGGGTTGATATGTTTAAATAGGCAATCATTTGGGGGGCAGGAATGGATTAAATTCATCGACATTATTTATTATGGGGAAATACAACTTGGACCTCGACCAAATCGCAACTCGACCAGCCTTCTTGAATGAATAAAGTTCATGTTACAAGGTACCATTGTGTGGGTATATACACACACACACATATACATAGGAAGGCTTACTGACACAGCAAGTGATGATAAAAAAAGAGGCAACTATCCAGATGACCCACCTGATTTGTCAAAATGGTGTTGTTAACGACATTCATGATTGTCCATGTGAAATTTAATGGATCTTCCTGGCTGGAATCTTAAAAACAAAACATTCAAAATCAGTGCTACACTTCTTTAAAAATTGAGTACATCATATTTATACTTTTCTCTGAAATTAATGGGTCAGTTTGGTTAATTCAGAACTTATCATAAAGTAACTTATACTTAACTAGTACTTTTGGATGGATGAAGTAACCAAAACTAAACTTAGTATATGACTTGGGGATAGGCATCTCCATAACTTAGGCTGCTGCAATACAAGGATCCGATACAAAGATAGATAAGAAGGAACTACTAATGCAATATAATATGATTCACCCCTATTGCGATGCAGTGCATTTTGATACAATTTGATTCAACATAATGTGATTCAACACAATTCAATGCTATTCAAAAGAATATGATGCTATGCAATTCAATGTGGTACAGACAATTTGACCGCAGAGGGGAACTAGAGATCAGAGAGTGATCTTGAGAAACAGTCTAGAGAAGGGGAATCAACCTAAACATAAAATTACTGGTTGCATTTCTAAATAATAAAGACATAGGGCCTCCGCTAATAATTATATACAGTAAAATCCCGTTATAGTGGACTCGTATATAACGGAATATCGTCTATAACAGACGAGGTTCGCTGGTGCCGGCCGTGCGCCTTTAAGAACATGCAGAAAAAGCATCGGATATATAATGACTATATATATAACGGATATAACGGAATTTTGCTTACAATGGACAAACAATTTGGTCCCCAGGGCCGCTTTTAGCTGTAGTTTTGTTCGGCTATAACGGACATGCAGGCTCCAGTGAAATCCAGCACAGATACGTAGTCGGGATTATTAATAGTCACGCATCTGGTCAGGTAAAGTTGGATTACTACATGTACAATATAATATAATAAGTGTGTCTGGGGTGTGGCAAGAGTAAATGGTGTCCTCTGGGCATATAGCAACTCTGGATATAACGAACTTTGGATATAAATTTTTCCAGGTCCCTTGAAGTCTGTTATAAGTGGATTTTACTGTAGTAAAAAATCCGATTTTACCGATGCAAAGGTGTTAGAAACAATGCATCCCGAATTCATCCCAAATTGTATCTGGTGCACACTTTTTAAGTGGGGGAATCACACCATGAACTTTTATGCCTGTGAACCGATGTGAATGGGTGAATATGACTGAAAGCAATGTTGCTTGAAAACTAGCACGGTTCCCTCACATCTTTAGAGTTCAGGGTACAGATCTTGTCTCTGTTATCTGTATGGAGCTCTTGTTAGGTTTCCTCTGGATGACCCAGTTTCCTCCCTCATTTCAAAGACATGCTAAGTGTTGTTTGTAGTGTGTCAGCATGTGTAGGTATGTGCCCTGGGATGGACTGACATCCTATACCTTTTGCCCTACACTGCCTAGAATAAAATCCACACCCCTCCCCCACAAGCTTGTTCAGGACAAACAGTTGGTTTGGGGACTTTAAAAAGTGACATATAAAAAACGCATGTAATATGTACTTGTTGAATGAATTTCTATGCAGTCTTTTTGTGCAGTCTACAAATTTAGAGACTGAAGACGTACTTATGATGTTATCCCATATTTTCACAATCTGTGACTTGTCAGAAAATTCTTTCAGGGCAGAACGAACTAGACCTCCTTTCTGAGAACTGTCCAGGTGCAGGGACCTGAATGGCAGCAGTGATTCCCTAGAAGAGACAAAAAAAGAGATCTGGTGACAGATTGTCATGTTTTTCTAAGGACAAATGACAATGTCAACAAAATAGCATGGGCAAGAAATATATTTCAGGTATCAAAAAAAATGTAAGCATGTCAATCTGTATAAATAGATTTCTGTGTCTGTATACTGGGTACAGTCATGTACAGTTTTGTTCCCCAAATAACATTAAGGTACAATTATGTTCTTCAGATTTCTGTACCTTAAATTAGACTAAAAGATACATTTACCTACAGCTGTGGTACAACTATCAGACTCTTGAGGGTACAGCCCGAGTAATAAGTAATTGTACCCTCAAAGGCACAAGTAAATACAATTTTTAACAGTGTACTAAGCAGGAAAAATCTGGTTGACACTGTAAGTGTTATGAAAAAAGAAAAAAATCCATCGTGCTGATTTTTTCAGCATAGAAAATACCCAGAAATGCATCCAGTGTGCCTCACAATGATGTGCACACATTTTCATCATAAATTATTAAACACTGATTAGCCTTTAATCTGATATGCAAATAAAAGTATATTAGGTTAAGTTTGTGTGATAGAAGGATGATCCAAGGTGCAGCTTACGGACTCAGAGAGAATTTCATTATATATATAAATATGGATGGATGGAAACAAACGGTACCACATGGGTCAAACAAGAACTAACAACTAAAATAAACATGATGGAAAAGCTAATACCAAACACATTTGGGGTGCAGAGGGAAGAAGGCCTCAGGAATGAAACGCATGGCAGTACATGCAAGCACATTGACTGACTGACTTGGGAGCAAGTCAAGGGCAGGTACATATATATATACAAGTAACAAGGCCTAGACAAGAATTACTTGGGACTAGGAGTTACAAGACACAGGTGAGAGTCATAATAACTAAACACTAAGGATGCAAACACAAGGAGATACTAGGAATTGGGATGCAGAATACAAAACCTGAAACAAGCAGGGATAACAAGAACAATGGCACCAAGACAAGAACCAATACTGAAACAATTAACATGGGGATTAGAGTTCTGGGTCAGAAAAGACAAAATGTCCAACAATAGTTGAGACTGGTCTTCGGCCAACATCAAACCCATAACAGTTTGGGAGCATCGCTCTCAGCTACAAGCTGGGACCATTCAGTCACGTGGAAGTTCAGGAAACATGGGAACACACTAGGGACTGTGACAGATACTAAACACAGAGAAGAACAGGATGACCAGTGACACCCACTGGCCAAACTAGGGAAGACCAGACATCGCAGAAACAGATCCTGACAGTATGTAGTTAATTATATTATATTATATGTTATTATTGTTATATATTAGGTCTCCTTATTATGTTATATACTGTTATATATTAGGTCTCCTTCAAAATAGGATTTGAAGACATACAAAGGCATTTTATGTAGCTTAAAGTGATACTACCTAGGTTTTATTGTGACTAACAAAATTAAGAAGAGTATACTTTTCTGTTAAATTGACAAAGCCAGACTATTTCCACATACACTTTGATGTCTAACTTCCCATCTTTAACATGTACTCATTCTGACGGCACTAACTCAGTCACAAAAAAACAGTGTGGATAACAAGCATTCCACAAGAGTCATCAACCTCTGATCTCGCGTGAGAGAAACAGGTTTGCAGGGAGGGTTGGTTTGTGTTTGGAAAATAAATATGACTAACAAGCTGACCTTTATCATTTTTAATGTCAGTTATAGTATAAAAATCCAGCTTTTCTATTCTATTGGTCAGTGGCAGAACAACTGTATACTGGACACTGGGGTAAAAATGGACCACACCTCCCCTTTACAAATTCTCACCTAGGGCCTGCCAAGGCCAGTTGCAGTAGTTGCATTTAAGTAGGCTCCAAATATCATACCCATCTCGTACTCCAGTAGTTAACAAATTCCAAAAACATGCATTTTTTTGTTAAATACACAAAAAACATAATTAAAAGATGACATGAAAGTAGCATGCCAGAAGCCTATGTAATATGCATGTTATCAGTGCCTTATTACTCATGAATGCTTTGCATACATGTGATATATGCAGCCAGAGGGGGGCCCTCGAGTCACTGGGCACACCTACCAGTCCGCCCCAACTAGTGGTGCATAGTTCAACAGTTGACATGCCAAAAAATGAAATGACTAACATTTTGTTCTGTAAGCAAGAGAAATGCAAAGGCATGTTGTGTAACAATGACATGTAATAATGGCTGTTACCTTTGCTACTCATTTATTAATAAACATCCCTATCCACCAGCAGATAAATGGCACAATTATTTTTAACATGGTATAGTGAAGACCAAAATTCAGTCTTTGTTTTAATCTGATAACTAAGGCTGATATTAATTCAGCAGTTGTAATGAGAACCACTGGATTTTTGTTGCCCCTTTTTTTATTTTTGTTAAAACGATATCTGAAATGCACTTTCATAAATAATTAGCCTTAAATGTAACCCACATGATTTAAATGGCCAAAGTATTCATATCTTCTTCATCTATCAATTATATAGCTCAGCTACATCATACATACTTTCAAAAACATTAGCAAATGTATTCTGGTATCCACTATTGCAACCAGCTTTGTTTATGTCTGTTATTATCTCCTTAATTGTTTTAATTTAATCAGAATGTCTTTTTATATTATTAACTCAAATTAATATTTACATAAATATTGACTTTTTAAACTTGTCATTATCTGTGTGGAAAAACTTCTATAAAGTGGTAATAAAGCTTAATTACTGCTGCATGTACACAGATCAGAGATATGTAAAAAGTGTCTTATTGAATCATCTTTAATTCAGTGATAATCCAGAAATGACAGCATATAACAATGGGTCGAGATACAGTAGTTCCTAGTAGATCCTCTGCAACAATTTAATAAAATTACAGGTCAGTTTTTAGACCAACTGACCATTTTTAATTTCTTTTAATGTGCAATAAAGCTTTTTAGTCCTGTACTAAAAAGACACCATCAATAGTCATAAATATTAAAATATTTATATACATAAGTAAATGTGACAAAATGCAACTGCAATCTTTAAAAGATTACATGGGAAAGCCTACCTCAAAGAATCCTCAGAATTTCCAAACATGCGGTTCATCGGTCTGACCGGTTCATAGGATTTGTTGGCGCACACACTATCGGTGCTGCACAGCAGAGTTTGCAGAAAGGGGAAGAACCCCGCACTGGGAAGGTTCCGGGGGGCCACATAACCTGCAGGTGGAAAAAAATCATCTATGGTCATATTAAGAAATCACCATTAAATGCAATTTACCAAAAAAGACAGAACAATTTACCAAAAAAGACAGAACAGCGGTTATCCAAATATATTCTCATTTTATAATTCATTTTTTCCCTCCAAATGTTACATGATCTACTGTATATTATGCTCTATATAGTGGTGCTGCAAAGAACTGAACTGAAGATTACAAAAAGGAAGAAGACATTGTTTCAGTATTTATTTAAGCTACAAATTATTTTGGTCTGTGGAGTTAGGGGCATATGTATTTTTGCACATGATTAAAATACCTGTTTGAGACAAAAAGACTTGTAATTGTAAAACACACAACCATTCTTGGTGGACAGCCATGGGCTTCAAATATAAATGCACCTATTTATAAAATTTGCATATTGGGAGTTTAAGCTTGTAATTTTTTGTAACTTGTTTTGAGGCTTACTCATTGATTGCCATTACTCTGACCATTTAGTAATAAAATTGTGAATTAATGCTGAATACAATACCAATATCAATGTATCATGTTTTCAAATAAACCACTGGTAATGAACATAAGCAGTCAGAATCTTTCCCTGTAAGCTGTTACCATGGGCAAAAATATGCTCAAACCAGGCCTGTAGTAATGAAGTGTGAATATTTATTACAGTACTTTAAAATATCTCCATATTTAGTCAATCACACTGTAAAGCTACAAATAATAAGCTACAGTAAACACAATTAACAGAAAGACAGTTGAACTGTATGTCTATTGGCAACAGAATACTGCAGAATTTTTTTTTTAAATCCATCTTCAGTCAATTCACACAAACAAAAAAGCTTCCTTTTGTACTCACATGGGTTTTTCATTATTGGAGGGAATTTGGATCGGGTTATGGCCAAGATAATGAAGATTATAAGGGGCCATATTATCAAAGCCAGAGACCAGACCTGAAAAAAAAATATATAATACTGAATGAAAAAATACTGTTACTGCATTTCTTCTTCATAAACTTCTTGTATCATTTTTCAATCATCTTCTAACCACTTATCCTAGATAGCATCACAGGGGAGCTTGGATCATATCTTAAGCAGCATGGCTGGATACACCCTGGGTGTTAATCAGTCCTGTAATTAGTGACCTAATTAGGGAGTTGCAGCAAAAACATGCATACATACTGGCCCTTTGCAGATAAGATTGCCCACCTCGGTTCTAGAGTGCTACTTAGAGTCCTGTGCAGGCCTGAAATTAAAGCCCGAGCCCGCCCGACCTTGACACTGTACCCAACACGGCTGGAACAGTATACTAGCAATTCAAAATTCCGAAACCGAAATCGTGGAAATATTATTCATATGCATAAACGGAGACCTTCTTGTTGCAACTCTACAGAATGCTGTTGGGGTATAAACTGACAGAATACATCTCGACATGTCATTTTTTTACCCTCTAAACACAACAACAATTTGTATCATGTCTAGAGTCATGATACAAAGTCTTTCGGCTATGGAACTCCAAAAGGGTCATAAATGCCTGAACTTACATGTTGTCTTAAGCTAACATGCAAATATGGAAGGCCTCGGGGCCAAAATGTCTTAAACTTATGGAACATCAAACAGGTCAAAAACTGGTGAATTTTAACACGTAGAATATGTGCAGAATACACGTTAACTATGTGTTGTTAACATGTTGTTAACATGTATTCTAATTAAAATTAATGTGTAGAATTGGCATGGAATATATGTCAATCTAGTTTTTTATTATTTTAACTTTACTTTGATAAGCCTACTTTGATGCCGTGTGTTCTGTCGATATATGCTGCCTTGTCGAAAAATGCTACCGTAGTGCTAATCGATAGCCCTAACCCTAACTGTTACCCTAACCCTAACCCACCAAAACCCCTAAAAACCTTACCTTAACCCTAACCCCTAAAACCTAACCCTAATCCCAAGACGGTGGAACTGCATATGCGCAGAAAGGCTCGATAGCACGTCTCGATAGGTAGTATTTTTCGACAGAACACCGTGTAGTAATCCGTGTGCTTCTGACTAGCTACCCAAGGCTAATGCTACATGCACAGAAAACATGACGGGAAAAAGAAAGTCATTTTAATTCACTCAGTATTAAACCAACTTTCCAGCGACTCTAACACTTCTGTCTCACGGTTTATATCCCGAAGGCATTCCATATATTTCTTCCATCGCTAGTTGGACTTGTTATGTAGCTAGTAAATGAGGGAGAAAGAGTGTTAGGTGGCGGCATTCATAGTGCGAACAAGCAAATGTCCCACTTCCCGAACGCAAATGACGATTTGCATATTTTAATAAATAAACCAGACCGAGCCCGAAAATAAAAAAACCGACCCGAACCTGGTATGAAACTCAATACGAATTAGGTCGCAGACCTCTACCTACTGAGCCACAATGCCACACAATAAGGGGAAATTTTAGGAGCTGTTGTGTCTCAACCAACTAAAGGTCTAAAAAAATAAATGAAGGAAACCTAAGATTTCATAAGAAAAAAAGTCTTTGAATTATTAAATAACATAAAATGTTAATTGTGTCAGCACATTAACATGGTTAAAAATTACATAGACATAATTAAAATACCAATAATCTAATCATTAAAAATTCTGCTGATTTCAGTTAATATAGAAGGCAGATAGAAAGACAGATTGATGGCATAGTTACTTACAGGCTGCCTATAAACGCTCAAGGCGTTTTTCCAAAGCAGAAGTCGCAGTTGCTGAAAAAATCTGGCCATTTGAGGACGGACAGCTACAAACACACAGAGAAACGTCCGTTACCTTTAACCATAATTTGTAATGCTAATCAACATCTGTTAATTACAGTTCATTCTCAATAGTTGTCAGCAAATAACGGTACAACCGAGGTACAATTTTGTTCTTCAAGGTACAATTAAGGTCAATGTACCGTCAATGGTACATAAATGTTCATCAGAGTCTGAACTTAAAAGGCTCATTTACCTACTGCTGGGGTACAACTTGAGGGTACAGCCCTAGTGACAAGTATTTGTACCCTCAGAGTACAAAGTGTATGACTGAATTCAAATAGACCTAATATGATTTCACAAATAAAATCATTACAAATGAGTGGCCAATGTTACTATAAATTTTAAATTAATTTACTATTATTGTACATGAAGGCCATCGCACGAAAGATCAGCAAATAGGCCTACTTAAAAAAAAAAGTTTTATACCATAAACCAAATTCCATTCTGTTCAGATATGTGATATGTATTCATACCGGTACTTTTTAGTATAAGGCCACGTTTCACATGATTCACTCAGGGGCGCAGGCAGGGGGGACAGGTGGCATATACCCTGAAATCCGAAATATTTAATGTGCCAACCCCCCACCTCCCGGAATGAGAGTTCAGGTAACTTCGTGTCAATTAATCGATTATTTTAACTTACAATGTTAACATCACCTTTAAATCAAATTCGTATGTTTGTTTCGATTTTGTAAATGAAATGCCCAAAATCAACAGCAATCACATTAATCATTAATTGAAACAAAAATAAGCTCCCGGTTCTCTGCAAATGAAAAGGCAAATATTAATAGAATATCTTATTCTATTAATATTTGCTATCTTAAACAAAATGAGATAGGATTTACCGAGTTTACTTCCTTGAGGGAAATGGTCAGCGACACCCAACGAGGTCTGTTGAGTCCGACGACAGCATGTCTTGACGTATCACGAAGTAGAATTTGCTTTTAATAAAGTTTCCAAAATGAAAGAAAAGCAGACACACAGCTCTCAAGAAATATTACAAAATGAGTTATTGCGACAGTACTGCCGCCTCTGTTATGTTAGTTAAAAGGGGTGTGATTATCTGTGGTTGTGAGCGTTTGTCTGTAGACTGCCTTTTCCGCATAACTATATCATACTCAATACTGCCACAAGCTCCAAATACTCATATTATACAACAGCAGAGTACGATAACTCACCATCCTTTAAAGGTTACTGAAAAACGAAGGATCGGGGCAATATGAATGACTTAGGACCTAAGGAAAAAAATAAACCTTAACACATTCGTCTGCATCGCCATACAACGGACTACAAACAGGAATTAATAATTTTTATATTACAATGAACTTATGGTTTTTTGTGGTTAGGTGGGTATAGTACAGTTTTAATTTGTTATTCTGCCTCCTCTGTATGTGCAGAGTTTGCATACTCTACCCATGTCAGGTCTGTTGCCATTGATCTGACATGCAGTTTAGTTAATTGGATCATTAATATAATAATTAAATAAATTAAAATAATTGATTGATTGATTATCCCTCAATGGGTCCTTGTCAGAAAGTTACGTTCCAGGTCCTTGGGGTTCAAGTTGCACCCCTATCCATTGGCATATATAATTCAATGGTACCAAGCTCAAATTCAATTAACTAAAGTTAAGATACATTTATTAGTTAACTGCATGATGCTTGCACAGCTTACGCAGTGAGATAGTGCAGTTAAAGGGGTTGCGGGCTTTGGGGGGAGCAACAGAGGTGACTGGTCAAATAATGCACATTCCGACTGTATCCTCTTGCAGAATGTGTCGAAGAGCTTCAG